CCAAAAACTGCCAGCAAAGGCCTGGAATAAGGTCTTTCTAGAAGCCCTCAAAAATGACAAACTTTGCTGACACTTTGATCTTAGAATTCTGATCTCCTGAGCTTTGGACAATAAGCTACTGTGGGTTGGTTTCTGTTTGTTCTACTTTTTGAGACTCTCATTTTGTGGCTCTGGCTGGCCTCTCACTCAGAAATCACCTGTGTCTGCCTCTGCTGGGAGAAAAAGCTTCCCCACTCTACCTGGCAGCTGTCATGTTTGAACCACCCACCTTTGAGGTGCTTTGTGAGATGAGCCCCGGCAGACGAACACAGGGGGGCGAGGGTCAACACTGAGCACTGTGGAATGGAGGCCTTGTACCTTTTCATACTTTCTGAGTTGATTTTTTTCATTTGTTTCTGAGACAGAGTATTGCTATGTAGTCCTGGGGCAGGTCAGGAGTGGTCTAAAAAACTTCAATAATCATCCTGACCGCTGGAATCACAGATAGGAGCTACCCTGCTTGGCTTGAACCTAGTCATGTTTCAAAAGATTTAAACATGAAGTAAATAGGAAAACAATCTGATAGTGACTTGTGTGTGGGTTTTTTTGTTTGTTTGTTTGTTTGTTTTGTTTTGAGACAGGGTTTCTCTATGTTAGTGCTGGCTGTCCTGGAACTTACTGTATAGACCAGGCTGGCCTCAAACTCAGAGATCCATCTGCCTCTGCCTCCCAAGTGCTGGGATTAAAGATATGCACCACTAACTACCCAGCTGTGACTTTTTTTTTTTTTTTTGGTTTTTCGAGACAGGGTTTCTCTGTGTAGCTGTGGTGCCTGTCCTGGATCTTGCTCTGTAGCCCAGGCTGGCCTCGAACTCACAGAGATCCACCTGGCTCTGCCTCCTGAGTGCTGGGACTAAAGGCATGTGCTACCATCACCACCTGGCCCCAGCTGTGACTTTTATTTATAAGGCATCAGAAGCTAGAAATATCTGTAAAACATTTCCGATTCAGAAATGTACCCTAATTCCTACTTTGGGCTCCATTCCAGGGCTGATGTCTGTTGAGTGGCTCCAGGACAGTCCCACTGCTCACTGCAGCTGTGAGCTGTGGCACACGTACAGGTGTAACTCTGGTACCTAGTCTGTAGTTACCAGTGACTCACCATTGGTGTCTGCTTTGACCTTTTCTTCTTTGATCTGCAAACTGCTCATCTGAGTAAGAATAAAAGGAAATGGTAAGCAAAAGACCCAACCAAGGAAGGCAGTGGGGCTGCCTGGGGAGCTAGTTTGTTCTACTCAATACACAAGTGCTAAAAGCCTGGGCAAAGACATCTCATGTTTCCTCAGCAGCATGAAAGGAGGGGGGGGTGCTGGAGAGATGGCTCAGAGGTTAAGAGCACTGGCTGCTCTTCTAGAGGACCTGAGTTCAATTCCCAGCAACCACATGGTGGCTCACAACCATCTGTAATGAAATCTGGTGCCCTCTTCTAGCTTGCAGGCATATATGCAGACAGAACACTGTATACATAAAAAATAAACCCAATAAATGAATAAATGAATAAATAAATAAATAAACAAACAAATAAAAAGAGGTGGGCATGGGTTAAACATAATTGTGTAAGGAGAAAGGGGGGGAAGCTTCAAACATTTGCTTTTCTTCTAACTTACACTCTTTCTAGAACATCTCCAAGTTTTTGTTTGTTGGGTTTAGGTGATGCTAGAGTAAACCCAGGACACAGAACTTGTGTCCTTAACGGCAGATGTGCTACCACTCAGCCATGCCCCAACCTCTCTAACCCCATTAACAGCAAATAAATTACAGTCCTCTAGTCTATCAACCACCTGCATGATAAGTAACTTGTTTAACGTGTATTAAAATAAACTGGGTGCAGGGAAACAGGCCTTTATCTAGCACTTGGGGGATGGAGGCAGGAAGAGCCGAAGTTGAAGGTCATGAGTTAGGAGCCAGCTTGTGCCACATGAGACTTGCCTTAAAAAAAAAAAAACAAAAAAACGGGCTGGAGAGATGGCTCAGAGGTTAAGAGCACTGACTGTTCTTCCAGAGGTCCTGAGTTCAATTCCCAGCAACCACATGGTGGCTCACAACCATCTGTAATGAGATCTGGTGCCCTCTTCTGGCATGCAGTCAATAAATAAATAAATCTTTAAAAAAAAAAAAAAAAAAAAAATCAATGCCCCATCAAGAAAACAAAAACCACTATTACAATCCTCTGGAAGAGCAGCCAGTGCTTTTAACCGCTGAGCCATCCCTCCAGCCCCTCACAAACATTTCTTATGTTCTAAAAACTGCTAAGAGTGTGACGTGACGATGGTAAGATGGTTAATTAATCTTGACTGCCAACTTGATGGTCCTTAGAATCCACAGAAGACACACCCCTGAGTTTACCTGCGGCAGAAGGCCTACACAGAATGTGGGCAGCACTCTCCCTGCATTAGGGTCCAGGACTGAATGGGAAGGTGAGGGAGCAGCAGCCACACTCATCTCTCCTTCCTTCCCCGAGGACCCCTGTGGCTCCCAGCACCATGCCTTCCCCATAACGGACCATGTGTCCTTCTTAAACTGGGAGCTGTTCTTCCTGTCACGCTTTGTCACAGCCAAGAGAAAAGCAGCTAATGCAGTGTGTTATAAAATGTTTCCGGGGCCTAGGTCCACTCCCAGACCCTAAATCAATGTCATGTGTTCCCAGGGCCTAGGTCCGCCCCCAGACCCTAAATCAATGTCATGTGTTCCCAGGGCCTAGGTCCGCCCCCAGACCCTAAATCAATGTCATGAGCTGTCGGTTTTTTAAGACACAGTCTCAATGTGGTAACACACAGCTTTCTCAGAAGGGCTAGACCAAGGATGTCAAAGGCAAGAATTTGTCAGCATTTACTCAGCTGCATTCAAGCAAAGAACTGCTGGTGGACAGGTACACTTGTCTTGAGAGTGAACAGTAAATACCAATGGGCAGGCCAGCCAATCACTCTCCTTTGTTCTGGATTTACCTTGGCACACAACATCTGATGATTAATCTTGCCTCACTGGACAGGAAATGCATACAGGTCTGTGTGGTAGAAGGTGTATGTGTGCTGGGGTGGTGGTGGGGAGCATATCTCTAAATTCACATCAGCCTTCTGAGAAGGACAACGGTTAGGTCAAGTATCAAGGATGTTCAGGTGGTATTGGTGACATTCGTATCATAAGAGATTAGGGACATACTTTGTTTTTACCCCTGCAGTACCAGGTGTCCAACCTAGGGCCTTGTTCTGGCTAGGCAAGTATGACTTACAAAACTAAGTCCCAGGCTGGAGAGATGGCTTGGAGGTTAAGAGCACTGGCTGCTCTCCAGAGGTCCTGAGTTCAATTCCCAGCAACCACATGGTGGCTCACAACCACCTAGAATGAGATCTGGTGCCCTCTTCAGGCCTTCAGGGATATGTACAGATAGAACACTGTATACATAATAAATAAATAAATCTTTTTTTTTTTTTTAAAAAGATAGTTTAAAAACAAAAACAAAAACAAAAACCCTAAGTCCCCAGCTTTGGCTAGTACATTTTAAAAACATACAAAGGTGGGTATGCTGGTACCCTCCTGTAATTCCAGTTAAGTCAGGAGGATTACTGGAGTCAATGGATTTGAGCCAAACTGGACATCAGTGTGAGATCCCCTTCTCAAACTCACATAATTAAATTGAAAACAGTTCCCAGTCACTATCTTTTAAGGATAATCTCATATTAAACATTAGATTTGAAATTTCAGACTGGAGCTCCTAAGACAGCTTAGTGGGTAATTAATTGCATGTCATCAAGCCTGATGAACTGAATCCATCCCTGGGACCCACACTGTAGGATGAGAACCTACCCTCACAAGCTGTCTTCTGGCCTCCACACACATAAATACAATTAATGGTTAAAAAAATAAACACAGGAGCTACAGTGGTGGCTGAGTGGTTAAGAGAGCTTGCAGCTCTTGCAGAGGTCCAGGGTTTGGTTCCCAGCCCCCACTGAGAGGCTCACGTTAGTTTCTATCTCCAGTTCCCCGGGACCCACCACCGTCTTCTAATGTATGTAGGCACAAAAGTGACGCACAGATACACGCAAAACAAACATGAGTAGATATTAAAAGAAAATATTTGAGGCCACCCCGAACTGAACAGTGATCTGCAGGCCATCTGGTCTGTGTTAATAACAAAGGCAGCAAGCCTGTAACTCCAACACTTAGGAGGCAGAAAGATAGCAGGAGTTCTTAAGGCTAGCCTCAGCTACATACACAGCAAGTCAGAAGCCAACCGGGCTAAATGAAACCCTGTCTCCTCGAACACACCATCACACACACACACACACACACACACACACACACACACACACACACACACGAAAAGCAAGCCTAAGAAGTAAAATTAAAGGTCACTAAAATATTAACAAAATAGTCTGTATTTGTATCCATGAGAGGCATTAAAGCAAATCAAAGCAAAACAAAACAAAAAAAAAAAAAAACGTTATTCTGGAGAGCTACAAACTGCCAAGCACATTAAGCATGAACGTAGGAACTGTTAGGTGAAAAGCAGCATAAACGCACTCAAAAACTGTCCCTTAACAAGGAAAAGGAGAATTTGATGTTGCCATGTTATAAAAGGTCAAGAGAAAGAGCCAGTTCGGGACATCGCACACATAGAGAGGACAGAGTCACCACGGGAAAAACTTTTCAGTCCAAACTCGGATAAAGAAGCTCGCTACGTGTTGCTCCCGCTCTAGGTGCAAATCAATCAGCACTAAGCGATAGCCCGCCGCAAAGAGCAGCGGCGCGCGGGCCAAGCCGACTCAGGTCCCCGGGCGTGCTGGAAACAGCGTCCGCCTCAGCCCCGTCCCCGCCAGGCCACTGACCGACTTGACAGCGGCCTCCTGCTCGTCCACCGCCAGCGCCCAGGAGTCGGTGGCCATGGTCCCCGAGGCGAGCACGACCTGCAGAGTGGTTCTCGCACCCCGCCAACACCGGCGCTGAGTCCCAGAACGCGCCAAGCGCCACTCAGGCGGAGCGGAAGAAGACGCGCGCGGAGTTGACGTCAGTTCCTGTCCCGCGCGGTCGTCTCCCACCCGCGCTCCGCCCACGGGTTGGTAAGCATGCTACTACTTGGTTAGGTGTGGTCTGATTGTGAGTTAACGCCCAAGAGAGTCCTTGCTGCATCTTTTCATTTCATACTAAAATAGCCCCTCCCTCTTTTTTGGTTTGTAAACTGGAACTCAGCTCCCTCCTTCACTTCTCAAATGCCAGGCTTACACGGGATCCGACGCCTTCTACTTTGCGGTCACAGACACACACTTACATACACGTAATTAAAAATAAAATGAGCCGGGCGGTGGTGGCAACAGGCCTTTAATCCCAGAACTTGAGAGGCAGAGGCAGGCTGACCTCCATGAGTTCGAGGCCAGCCTGGTCTAGAGAGAGAGCTCCAGAACAGCCAGGACTACACAGAGAAACCCCGTCTCGAAAAACCTGGTTACATCCTTACATGTGTGGGTATGTATTTAATTTTTGTTTTCGCAGACAAGAATCTCATGTAGCCCAGACTGGCATTGAACTCCCTTTATTCCTGCCTCTGCCTCCCAAATACTGCGTTAAGAGAACTAGTTCACATTGTTGTGCTGTTGGGATACATTTTAAAATCATGACAGCTGTGTAAAGCTGTTTGAATGACTTGAAGAGACTTAACAACAACAAAAAAGATGCTCTGAAAATACTGTAAAATAAGACATGGTAGTGAACACCTTCAACTCCAGTACTTGGGAAGTATGAGGAAGAAGATATATGCTATATGAGGCAGACCTAGTCTCAAAACAGTTTTGGAGTCTGGCTGCCCATTGTCCTCTCTGTTTCGCAGTTTCATTACCAAGCACAGCTGCTGTAGTACCAAGAACATGGTTCTTCGGTATATCCACTGGGACACAATTTTTAGAGCAGTGTGTGTGAGCACAATTAAGGAGTTCAAGTTTTAGCTTCACTTGAGTCTGCAAGACATTTAGTAGGTTTTGTTTTAGTTTTTTGGTTGTTTTGTTTTGTTTTGTGTTTTTGAGACAGGGTTTCTCTGTGTAGCTTTTGGAGCCTGTCCTGGAACTCACTTTGTAGACCTGGCTGGCCTTAAACTCACAGAGATTCACCTGCCTCTGCCTCCCGAGAGCTGGGATTAAAGGCGTGTGTCACCACTGACTGGCTGGTTTAGTTTTTTGAAACAGGGTTTCTTTGTGTAAGTAGCTCTGGCTGCCCTGGAACTTGTCCTGTAGACTAGGTTGACCTCAAACTCAGAGAGCCGCCTCTGCCTCCTGAGTGCTGGGACTAAAGGTGTGCGCCACCACCACCACCCAGCTTTTTTTTTTTTTTTTTTTTTTTAAAAAAAAACAGTGTCCCACTTTGCAACCTTGACTGTCCTAGACCTCTCAGTGTAGACCAGGATGGACTCTGAGACCCAACTGCTTTTGTCTCCAAAGTGCTGGGATTACAGACACGCGCCACCACTCCTGCATTCAGTGATTTTTTTTTAAACCACTTCTTTCACACCACCTGCATCTACTATGAGGTTGGTTTCTGGCAGCTTAGGCTGAAGCCCCAGCTGGAACAATGAAACTAGTCAGCTATTTTTAGAAACAGCTCTGGGCTATACCTTACCTTCTGTCAAAACATTCACTCCTGGCCCACAGCTAGCCTGTATACTCCAAAAGGAGTACACCAACTAGAATCTACCCAGAATGACTCCTTTCTTTTTCCACACCTGAGGCCAAAGAGAAGGCACTCTCTAATCATTCCTATCAAATAGTCTGCCCTGAGCTGAGATCTGACTCAAGTGAACATGGTAACATGAGTTAACATCTACACTTGATAGTTGTAGATTATTAAGGTGTGTTACTTTTATGTTGCATTTGTTTAACTCTGTAGCTGTGTTACTTTGCCTATCTAAAACACCTGATGGTCAAATAAAGAACTGAACGGCCAATAGCGAGGCATAGGTGGGGTTAGCAGGTAGAGAGAATTTATAGAAGGACTCAGCTACACAGCAAGCCATGGAGTAAGAGTAAGATTTACAGAAGTAAGAGAATGGGAAAAGCCCAGAGACAAAAGGTAGACAGGATAATTTAAAGAAAGCTGGCAAGAAACAAGCCAAGTTAAGGCCGGGCATTTATAAGTATGAATAAACCTCTGTGTGATTCATTTTGGAGCTGGGTGGCAGGCCCCCAAAAGAGCAAAAACCAACAACACTTGATTGTAGCCAGAAGGCATAGAAGCAGCAGTAAGATAACATTTTTTAAAAACATTCTAAACCAGGGATGGTGATGTGCGCCTTTAATCCCAGTACTCGGGAGGCAGTGGCAAGAGGACCTGTGAATTCAAGGACAGCCTGGTCCCAGAGAGAAATCATGTCTCAGAAAACTCACTGTACACAATTTATTTGAATCATTTCTCAGCATCCCTCTGTCATCTCCATTTCCCAGTTGAGGAAACTAAAATTAGAGAAGTTAATTCTGACGTCACACAGCCTAACCAACTGGCAAACGTGCCCACTTATTTCAGCACAACTCAGTTCTACAGCACAAACCCAAAACCTGGGAGTGGACATGGTTAGTTTTCTTCTTACTAACCAGTTCAACAAGCATGTATCTTAGAACCCTGATGGCATCTGACTGGCCAACGCCAGATGAGCCAACCAATCACCGGAGGACAACATCCCTTTTCTGGGCACTTTTTACCTGCTCTTGGGCCTAGAACTGCCACTGAATCACCTGTTGGTGGAGCTCTCAAGTTCCCTGACCTGTGAGGAATTTTGTTTTCATCACTGACTCCCAGACTCAGCATTGGCTTCCCTGCAGCTTGCCCATGTGGGGCACAATAGCGCTCCAGTTAGGGAGGGAGCATATCCGTAAGTGAATTTTCTGCTCCTTTACCCTCCAGATGCCTCCACATATAGTAAGCAACAAGACAGGGAGAAGTGACAAAATGCCATAAAGATTCAGAAAGGAAAGGAGAGATAATATTAGGTGCTAGCATAACTATTTGACTCATAAAAGTGAAAAAAACTTAAATTTTTATTATATAAAAGAAGCTAGGCACAGTGGCACATGCCTTTAATTCCAGCACTTGAGAGGAAGAGGAAGGTAGATCTCAATGAGTTTGAGGCCAGCCTGGTCTACATAGTTAGTTCTAGGCCAGTCAAGTCTACATAAAGAAACCCTGTCTCAAAAAAAAAAAAAAAAATTGTATAAAGGGCTGGAGGTGTAGCTCGATCACTGTAGAGCACTTGCCCAGCATAAGGGATGCTTGGATTTCATTCCCAGCACTAAGATTAAAATGAAAAAATGATTGTGAAACATTTTCCTGAGGATCTGTAAAACATTCGAAGACATATTACCATTGCAGTTCTTTGCAAGCCCTGGTTCTGCTTGCTATCTCAGGATTCATTAGTAAAGACATACTTCCTCCCTTGCTGTACTAGAGTACAAGGGAAAACATACACTAAAGAAGCAGTCCCCATAGGGCATGAGGCAGATGAAGTAATGTTGAGTGTGGGGCCTGGAACCAGAAAGTCTAGGCTTATCTGGATTTGCCTCTCCGTGGTGGAGTGTTGTAGGGCAATTCACCCAGCCTCTCTGTGTTCATTTCCATAAAACAGGAATCATACATAACCCATTTGTTGTGAAGAGTGGATGGGTTAATTTATGGTAGGCCTTGGAAGATTGCTTGACAAATACTCTATCAATAAGGGAAGTACAGGGCACTATGGAAGATTAAGACAGACATGAAGCACACCTGAAACAGGAAGAGATCCAGTTCAAGGTGGAGTTGTGGGATTGCCAGGACATGGTGGTACACACTTTTAATCCCAGCAGATTAAAGGGAGGCAGAGGTAGGCAGATCTCTGTGTGTTCAAGGCCTACAGTGTTAGTTCCAGGACAGCCAGGACTTATACAGACAGAAAAACCCTGTCTTGAAAAACCAAAAGAAAAAAGAAAGAAAGAAAAAAAAATCAACAAAACAAACAAACAAACAAAAAAACCAGAGAGATGGCTCAGAGGTTGAGAGCACTGATTGCTCTTCCAGAGGACCTGGGTTCAATTCCAAGCACCCACCTGGAAGCTCACAACCGTCTCTAACTCCAAGCTCTGACACCTTCACACTGACAAACATGCAGACAAAACACCAAGCACATAAAACAAAAATGATTTAAAAAATTAATGAGGTCACCAATTTTTTGCAACATCTTGATGGCAGAGAAGACCCACCCTGCAGGCTCCTCTGAGCACACACACTCTTTTTTAAGAAAGACTTTCTCTGTGGAACAGCCTTGGCTGTTCTAGAACTCACTTTATAGACTAGGCTGGCCTCACACTCAAGAGATTTTCCTGTATCTGCTTTCCAAATACTGGGATTAAAGGCATGTGCCACCATGCCCAGCAAGCTTTTTAACATTTCTTTTTTTTTTTTTTTTTTTTTTTTGGTTTTTCGTTACAGGAATTCTCTGTGTAGTTTTGGTGCCTGTCCTGGATCTCGCACTGTAGACCAGGCTGGCCTTGAACTCACAGAGATCCTCCTGGCTCTGCCTCCCGGGTGCTGGGATTAAAGACATGTGCCACCACCGCCCGGCTTTTTTTAAACATTTAAAAAATGATTTGTTTTTATGTGTATTGATGTTTTTGCCTGCACTTATATTTGTGTGTCAGATCCCCTGGAACTGCAGTTACAGTTGTG